CGATTCTTCTGCTCCACCTCTGCTTTTCATCTGTCCATATTGTCGGATGTTTGACTTCTAAACTTTTCGATAAGTTATATATGTATATACGTATTTTGGTATGTGTGCACATGCTTAAAAACATATGAAATATGTATATCTATATTTGTTAGTGTATACTGTATAGGTATTTGTTTTATATGCATAAACAAATAAATTTGTCTATAAATGATTGTGCATATACACATATGCAAATATATATGCGTATGAAGAGAGAGATATATATATATAGTTGCATGCGTAAATATGTGTATATATATAAATATATGCATGCGTAAATATGTGTATATATCTATATATATATGCATGCGTAAATATGTGTATATATAAATATATATATATATATATTTATATTTACATGCATGCGTATGTATATATATATATACGAAATAAATAGATAGATAGATAGATAGATAGGTAGATAGATAGATAGATATGCGTACAATATATATATATACATATCTTCGTATGTATGTATGTATATAATATATATATATATATATATTTAAATATACATGTACACATACATGTATATGTAAAACTCGGTATGTACATATATAAATATAGTTCTACTTCTCCATTGCCAATCGCCATCTGTCAAAACTGCCGGCGACAGTGGTGCTGACATATGTATAATTATACATATACAGTACGACTAAATATGTATTGTATTTGGATATATTTGGGATTCAAGCATAACATGTGTTTGCGTGGAGACATTTTTTTCACTGTTGGACTTTTGTTTTTTTGCTGGACGCGTCTTTCTCGGAGCAAGTGTTCTTCCATTGTAAAGGCAAACAACAGTTTTGTGAGAAAGAAAAACTAAAAGCCAAACAAGTCACAGGAAAATTCGAAAAGTAGAAAGTCGAAAAGTGAAAAGGCTTCATTGTCAATTTCGAAAAGTCGAAAAGTGGAACGGTGTCTTTTTTGAATTTCGAAAAGTCGAAAAGTTGAAAAGTAAAAAGGCATCGTTTTGAATTTCCAAACATTGGAAAGTCGAAAAGTATACTTTTTGACTTTTCACTTTTTGACTTTTTGAAATTTATCATATGTCTTTCCAATTGAACATGCGCAGCTCGTTTTTCGAGCTTAAGGCTTAGGAAAATGCAATTATCCAAATCGAGCTTAACATAAACCTGTAAAACAGGGCCCAACAAGCCCTGACAACTCTCCGGCGACGATCATAAAATTCAGCAGCGCATTTTTTTCGACTGCCTCCCCAAAGGCATTCTCGGTTTTTCTGTTCTGTGCTAACGTAAGCCCATGTCAACGCTAGGTTTTTAATGCGGTTTTCCATTGACAAAGTTCAGCATCTTCATCCCTTTGTCTCCTGGAAAGGAAAAGCTAAGTCATAAACATGGTGGGGGCGCCTCTAAGAGGCCGTGCGTTTTTGCACATGGATATATTTCTCTTCAATGATGTTTCAAGGTTTCGCCACAACGAGAGCGGTTTTTCACATATATTTATATATTGTGGGTGTGTCAAAAGTCATGGAAGGGTATGGAAAAATGAGGGTCTCGGTGTGATTGCACTGGTTTTTGTGGGACGAAAGCTACATGTTGGAAAAGGCAGCTGTACGCTTTTTCCTCTCTTTGTTCAGCCGCTTTTGCGGCAAAGGTCTCCTAGACTTTTGTACATGTCGTTGTAGCAATTTCTTCGCCACAGAAAAACCCAGACACATTTCATGATGTTGAACAAAATACTTGAAGTCCATCACCAACTTCTTACATGATGTTGAACAAAATACTATATATTATATACTATATATTATAACCATCTGCAGCGTAGCATATTTTTAACTTGAAGTCCATCATCAATGTCTGACATAATGTTGAACAAAATACTTGTATATCACAAACAACTACCTGGTAGGACACCTCTATACCCAAACCCGAACCCCACACCATCATCAATGTAACGTCAACCTATTAAAACGTAACATCAACATATAATCAACATAACCTCAACGTAGCAACGGGGCATGATCCAAGTAACATCAACGTATCAACAGTAGCCTCAACGGCTCCTCAACATAGCATCACAGTATGATCAACGTAACATCAACGTAGCATCCACCTCGCATCACCTTGCACGCAAGAGACATGAACGTTATCACACCCCAGCCCACCCCACCCCACCCCACCCCAACCGTAGCCTCAACGGCTCCTCAACGTAGCATCACAGTATGATCAACGTAACATCAACGTAGCATCCACCTCGCATCACCTTGCACGCAAGAGACATGAACGTTATCACACCCCACCCCACCCCACCCCACCCCAACCGTAGCCTCAACGGCTCCTCAACGTAGCATCACAGTATGATCAACGTAACATCAACGTAGCATCCACCTCGCATCACCTTGCACGCAAGAGATATGAACGTTATCACACCCCACCCCACCCCACCCCACCCCAAAAACCTCAAAAACGCACGGCCTCTTAGAGGCGCCCCCACCATAAACATATACCCTGTATTAGTTCTAGAATCTACTTCAAAACTTGTTGGATTTGAAACAGGAATGGATTTGGGGAAGCGGGATGCAAAAGCGTATTTGTTTGATTTGGCAGAATATATTGCGAACTTGTGCCTCTGGCAAACGGTCTTACCACAGCCCTGGTTTCACTCGTCTTCTCCGGATGATGTGAAGCCTTTTGGGTTATGATTCGTAGCCACCCCCGTTATTGACGAACCCTTGTACCTCTGAACTCCCCTTAACATAGACCCTGTAGCAGTGCTGTGACATGATGTTTTTAATAAATCATACGAAAGAAATCGGGGTATTCCGCAAAAAAAAAAGAAAACATTTTTTTGGTGCATAAGTTCCTTTAACACATTGCTGATTTGTAACATTGTTTGGATTTAAACAATTTTTACAGGAACGAACTTATTGCACGAAAAAAAAGGTTATGTTTTGTTTTTCGTGGGATACACAGATTTTCTTTCGTATGATTTATTAAAAACATCATGTCACAGCACTGCTACAGGGTCTATGTTAAGGGGAGTTCAGAGGTATAAGGGTTAGTCAATAACGGAGGTGGCTACGAATCCATAACCCAAAAGGCTTCACATCATCCGGAGAAGACGAGTCAAACCAGGGCTGTGGTAAGACCGTTTGCCAGAGGCACAAGTTCGCAATATATTCTGCCAAATCAAACAAATACGTTTTTGCGTCCCGCTTCCCCAAATCCATTCCTGTTTCAAATCCAACAAGTTTTGAAGTAGATTCTAGAACTAATACAGGGTATATGTTTATGACTTAGCTTTTCCTTTCCAGGAGACAAAGGGATGAAGATGCTGAACTTTGTCAATGTTTAAACCTCTCGCAGAGCTCCTGAAGAATGATATCTTGCGTTGACATAACCCCGGGCGCTTGCAAACACAAAATGCGGTGGATACATGCACCTACAGAAGCTCTCTCTCTCTCTCTCTGTCGGGTTATCTTAATGCAGTATTGATTTTTCTCCACATGAAGGAACAAAGTTTTAACATGGACTTCGTCCGAGCATTTGCTCAAAACGGGGGTTTTCGTCAAAAGTTAAGAGAGTATGTGGGAAAAAAAACTGAGCATGCGACCTGGTCGGAGACGCTGGAATATGTATAGAATGAAGACAGCCAAGCATGTAAAGCTTCATGGCATTCGTTCACCTAAGTCCGGGTCACTTGGTGATAGAAGCAAAAAACACCTCCCAAGTCATGGAATCGAAGTATGCTTTTTCAATCTTGCAAACATCAAATTCAAGAGTATTGACAATTGAATTGGTTATTTATGTCATGACTAGTACAGCAAAGGCAAAATAGTCATTGGCGCCGACAAGCCTCCTTCTCTCTGACTCTGCGAAATTGCGACCCTGACCTTGGATTGATATTTGCAATTCAAGATATGCAACATCGATGATAAACCATGCCACATGCAGTGGTCTGCCGTTTTACTGTTTGCCCTTTTGGGGCATTTTGTTCAGATACCAACGTCAGGAACGGGGCAAGTTTCTTTGCCTGGCAAATTTCGTCTGCATCGTTCAGCTCTGCTCAGCTCTGCTCAGCTCTGTTCAGCTCTGTTCAGCTCTGTTCAGCTCTTAAACCCTTCAGTTGCGCCTCTTCGGAGGAGAACGACATGCTGCTCAGCTTTGACGTGAAACTGCAGTGATGGCACACTCATCGGTGCAAACGCACAGAGAATGCAACGCTTAATTTGCGCACTGATAATTTACTAGTCACTCTAATCGCAAACGTACAGTCAGATCCTGTACCGAGCATGCTCACACAGAAAAAATCTCTGTGCCTTGGGCGCAAGTCTCTTAAAAACACAAATGCATCACAGGCCCGAACAAAGACTGCACCAAAAAATAGGGAAGGGCAGTCACTCAAAATAGCCACGAATAATCTTTCACCTTTTCCCCATGTAGCCACGGTAGATAAACAGAGTTGACAGGGAGCGTTTCCACCAGAGTCGCAAGTTCGCTATTGAGAGTTACTTGTAAATTCTGGATTTGGGATTGCGCTTCAGACGCGATCCCATCAGAAATTTGTTTCGTGTCCGACCTTCTTTTTTTTTCCATGTGGCACTGCACAAGTACGATATCTGGCAGCATTGAGGTGTGCATACATACATACCATGCCATACCATGCCATAACAGTACACTGCATTACATTACATATACATTACATGTACATTACATATACAGTACATATACATTACACATACATTGCATGTACATTACAAATACATTACACATACACTACATATACATTACATACATTACATATACATTACATATACATTACAAATACATTACATATACATTACATGTACATTACATATACATTACATGTACATTACATATACATTACATGTACATTACATATACATTACATATATATTACATATACATTACATATACATTACAAGTACATTACATATACATTACATGTACATTACATATACATTATATATATATATATTACATATACATTACATATACATTACAAGTACATTACATATACATTACATATACATTACATGTACATTACAAATACATGACATACATTACATATACTTTACATATTCATTACAAATACATTACATATACATTACATATACATTACATATACATCACATATACATCACATACATCACATACATCCATACATCACATACATCACATACATCACATACAGACAGACAGACATACATACATACATACCTACATACCTACATACCTACATACCTACATACCTACATCACATACATCACATACATCACATACAGACAGACATACATACATACATCACATACATCACATACATCACATACATCACATAGATCACATAGGGCGTTCAAGCTTGCCGTTTGCCAGCCCTCAAACCCCTAAAATGCCTAAAACGCTCCGCGGCAGCTTCGACCAGGCACTCAGGCCACTGCCCTCTGTTGTGAAGGGCGTTCAAGCATGCCGTCTGCGAACCCTCGAACTAAACCTTTCTCTTGGACAACACCATCCTTCACAGAAAATTTCCAAGCATGGCCCGCGAGCCAACCCTGCAGCCTATGCTTTCGAAAGTGCAGCGGCGTTCTCTTTCGCTTCTTATTTTTTGCGTGCCTTTTTGTTATGAGGCCTTCATCTCTGGATCTGACCCGGAGTTGGTCTTCTTTCTCTGCCATTGCTCCGCAAACTGACCGGCAAGATACAAACGGCGCCTAGGAGCTGGGGATCTTAGACTATGGGGCGCCTTTTGCAATATGTTTTCTTGTGCATAACATGACTTCAATGATCATATAAATTATATTTATACATTACTTGATGCTGCTCTCTTTGTGGAACTTTCTCCGCAAGACATGTTGTTCCTACTTGAACTGCTTAAAGCTTATATGTGTTTTTGGGCCACGGGCACGCGTTTGCAGGAAATATATTTCCTCAATCCGCAGCTTTTAGGGACATACGCTCTCCTTCCTCCACCCTTGAAAGGGGGTCGGCGGCACCAGGGCGTTAGCCCATTCTACATACATGACATACAATACATACATTAATTACATACGTTACATGCAGTACATTCCATTGCATTCCATTACATTCCACTACATTCCATCACATTCCATTACATTCCACTACATTCCGTTACAACACATAGCACTAGCATTGGCGTTCGCATTGGAATGAGCGATGGCAGGCACTAGAATTTGCATTGGCATGGGCATTGGCATGATTGCATGACGCTGCATGCATTATCCAAGGAAGTTTAGTTTAGAAAACTTCCGAGTCACCGACGATGATCATGGATAGCATTCACACCATCATGTCAACCCAATCATCAAGTCCAGAAGTTTGCAGCGGACTAATGGAGAGACATGATAGAGATGGAGCAGGCAGGAGAGGATTGTGATTGTGATTGTGATGATACCTGTCATAATACCGGCGATGGTGAAGATGAAGTGAAGCATTCTAAGGAGACAGAGAAGGTTGTTGCAGCACATTCTCATGAGCATCAGAATCAAATGAGAATGACATGGAAACCAAGGAGTCTTGAAACAGGAATTCAAAGGAATCAAAGATATGGAAGCAGCTGAAACGGCAAAATGACGTTGTCCAAAACAATCGGACACTGATTTCTTCAATAGAATCCGGGCTTTCCTTCTATGCCCCTTCTTCATAGCGGAGAGCTCGCAAATGCAGTAGTGTTTCAATTCACCAAAGTTTGCTGTCCGACCCAAAGGGCAACGCCCCACCCTCCTATGCTCTATATACAAACTCTTCGTGCCAAGAAATCACGACCATGCTTTCATCAAGTGCAAATCTGTCATTTTTGTTTGCGGGTTCAACAACTCCAAACGCTAAGAAGCTCTCCAAAGCTGTGCCGGGTGATGTGCCTATGTGGATCACGAAATAGTCGGCGCACTCCGCTGAGCATAGCTTCTGCTGTAAATGTTGAAACCTGCGCCGAACGGAAACTGGGAATGTCGGGCCATCGGATCATGCCATGGTGGGGAAAGCCATGAGAAGTCACTGTCACGCCGACGCCTCCATCCTGAAAACAGCAAAAAGGCATTGGAGAAGGCGAACGATGGGCTCCTGAACCACAATCACAGCTGCAAGAATCATAAGGATGACGAGCGATTCCCTATGTATTATAGGAAGAGATGCTCAAGAACAAACTTATAAACGATCAGGCAGTCATCCGCTGACATGCATTTCAATGTCGCTAACTGCTGCCCTGGTTTTTTCTCAAGCGCAATGCCACAAGCATCACAGCGCTGGTTCTACGTGGCATGGACATTGACACCATGATGGTGAAATCTGTATGTGGTAATGGACCGGGCTGGAATCTCCGTCTCCGCAGATCGTCCATCCAGCTTCAGCCAGAACTTGATTTTGTAGTCTTCTTGATTCAGCACCACAAGAACCAACGCACCATCTGGGTTGCGAAAACCTGTGGCCTTCAGCGCATCACGATTTGTACCTACAGCAATTCGCTGAGCCCCAGGAACGATGTAGCGAGAGAAATGCCCAATGTAATAGAACGACGAAAGGAAGACCAGCTTGTCCCGGGCAGTATCGTAAATGATTGGTGCTGATACAAGATTCTGAACATGATTCGGACCACCAGTCTCATCCAAGATCAAGTTCCAGTCAATCCAAGCCTCAAGCCAGTTCTCTAGATCCTGGATGATAGCTTCAGCATAGCGTTCCCCAAGCTTCCAATCACCGATTCGCGGCCCTGACTCTTGACATGACTCAGTCATGATGATATGCTTTTCAGGCCACAGCTCATGAACCTTTCGCACATTGTCAAAGACAAGCATGCCTTCACGGGCTGGCCAGAACTCATAGCGTGTGTCACCATACCAGTGATAGCCAGTCCCCCAAACATATTTTGCAGCTTCCGGATCACTGTAGATTGTGTGCGCGCGCAGGAACATGCTGTCGCGGTTGTGGTCCCAAATCAAAAGTTTCAGGTCTAATCCACTTGCCGCCAAGGCAGGTCCCAAGTGATCACGCACAAAGTCCCTCTCTTCCTCAGCAGTGTAAAGGCAATTCTCCCATGGTGTAACTGCCCTTGGCTCATTCTGCACTGTAAATCCCCAGAGAGGGAGACCTTCAGAATGAAATGCCTCAGCAAAATGGACGAAATGCTCAGCCCAGGAATTCCTAAACTTAGGGAGCAAGGCACCGCCGTTAAGCATTTGCTGATTGTCCTTCATCCATCCAGGAGGGCTCCAAGGTGAAGCAAGAAGTTGCAGTTTGGGCGACTTGGGCAATGTCTTGTTGGCGGAGGCCCCGCTTTGCATCACCCTTTGTGTCTTGTGCAGCATGGGTAAAATTGATCTCTGATAGCGCTCGATGCTGAAAGTCTTCAACTTTTCATCATTCTCTTCGACACAGCTCCAATTCCCTTTGGAAAAGTCGCATGAGCCCATATGCACTCGACCCCAGTTGTATGCAAGACCTTTGTCCTGGCTGAAGTATGCTTGAAGGACTCGTTCTTGCATGCCAGGCGCCATACGATGGAAGAGGTCTGCTGAAGACTCAGTGAAAGATCCGCCAAAGCCCAGAAAAGTTTGATAGCGCTTGTTTGGTTCCAGCAAAATGTGGGGGACATCAGCTGGTATATCACTTTGGTTCTTGAGCTGTAAAGCTTCAAGGACCTTAAATTGCTCCCCGGCCTTGGAAGTCCTAGTGACTTGCACCAGCTGCGGTTGTGGTAGAGGCTGCGCTTCCAGCTTCGGCTCTGCCAGCTTTAACCAATCTCCCAGTGGCGATCGATATGCCAAGGTCCCGAGCCTTGAGTGTGTTTGATCTCGGAACATCTTAGCAAAGACTATGGCTGTGGGGTCACTCGCGACCTGACAACAAACTGCTACGAATAGCACTGCCAGCCCTGTCTTCCAGGTCAGACTAACCTCCACCGCAACACTTGGAAGCAAAACTGCCAGAAACGCGGCTACAGGGAATGAAGCACCAACAAAGTGAAAAAACACAAAATATACAGGAGCAAGCAGCCGCCATGGGGATACTTGCACTTTCATCTAGGAAAAGCTTTCCCCCTTCACTTGAGGAAAGAATTGTTGGAGCGCAGAAAAGACAAGAAGCATTGAGCCAAAAGCATTGCTAAAGTCAGCCATGCCAATGTCTGAGACTCATCGCATCTTGTTACATGCGTGTTTACAGTAGCAGCTCTACACACTTACCAACAGCTCCAGCCTGCAAATGGGATGCCAAACCTCCATCAGCACCAAACGCATCATTGTGCTTCTGCTGTGCAACTCCGTCTCTTTGCAGAATCGGAATTAGCCAGATTGGACCCGAGCCTGGTTCTCGAAAATGCTTCTCTAAGTATGAACGAAATTGGAACCTTGCAGAAGGGCCAACGCTCTGATCGATAGCACATTCGAGACGCACATAAAAGATTGCAAGCCTGGTCCTCTCTAATCGCGCTACACATGTCCGGAATATCTGGGCTGCAAACACTGCATGCGGAGAAAGTCGCCGCAAATTTGCTTCTGCTCGGGAGAGCTGGGCTTTGAGCTCCTCTGGAAGCGAAGAGGCGGAAAACCCGTCAAATGCAGACAACCGAATCAAGTGGCAGGTCCCGGACGCAAGCTAACCGACCACCATCAAAACGCAAAACACACTTCGGCCCCAAAAAAACAGAACCTTGAAGATTTCTTTGCCCCCTCACACGGAAAACTTGAGTCCAGTCCAGTGCTGTGTTTGGAAAAGGCGGGTCTTCGCATGCAGCACTCTGAAACCTCCCTAACCAACAAGCCATACTGGAAACCAAAAACTTGAGAACGTTTCTCAATGTGATTCAATGTGATAAGAAAGACTTGATCCGGCCGATATTGGACGATCAAGAAAAGAAAACCTTTGTTCCTACTCCCTGCTGGAACACGTGGAGCAACAGCTGCTCGTCAAATCTGAAAAACCCTGCAGGTCTTGTAGAGTGGCTAAGTCTTGCTGGAATGGTA